GAATTATGTCTCCCTTTCTGTCAAAATTTTTCATTATAATTTAGTAATTTATATGAAAGTATGCATCGTATTATAATGTGTTTATTTGATAACATATTTTTGGCGATATATTTTAAATTTTAAAATAATATATTTTTCTAAAAAATTATGATAATTATATAAAAGTTATATTTAAAAAGTCACTAAATAAATATACTATTTTATTATATAAATATTATACTGTAATATTATTTTTAAAAAATATATATACAAAATAAAATTATCTCGTATTATATTATTATTTATTGACTTTTCATAATCATAAAACAGTCGATGACAAAAATAAAATTATAGTTCTTCCGTTTAGGTAGAAATGAACCCTTTTGTTTAAACACGAGAGTTTTAGAATTCAAATAGTATAGATTAGTTATTTAGACGATAGAAATTAGTTATTTATTGATTAAAAAATAAAAAAAAATGTGTTTAAATATTTTTAATATTATATTTGAATAAAATATGTACAATATGGATATTATTTTGTAGAGAATAAAATTTATATTATACAAATAAATAAAAAAAATTATTTATTTATTTATCATTATCATAAATTAATTTTATAAAAAATAGAGCGTTTTAAAAATAAATAAAAATATTTGTTAGTTAATGAGAGATAGAAATCAAGAAGTTTTGAGCTGGTTTTAAATGGTGTTAGAAATTTATTTAAATTGATTTTATTTTTATTAAATGTGTTTAAAATTAATAAAGTTATCAAAAATAGAAAAAAAAAATCTCCTATTGTAGAAAAAAAAAAAAAAAAAAAAAGAATTATGTGTAGCGAAAACGGAAAAAATTATTGTCGTATTTATCACTAAAATCCTTCTAACTTATCATTAACAAATTAAATAAATTGTGTATAATTTTAGCCATATACAGGTGTACCCGTTGCTGCATTGCCTCCACACCAGGACACAATTATTCTTTTATTATATTAAAGATATATATATATATATATATTAATATATTATGTGGTAAGAGAAGACACAAGTGTATCGTTTCTATTAGTTTTTTTTATTTTAGTTTATGATCTAAAACTTGCAGCGGCTAAGGGTGTGTTTGTTTGGAGGGTTTGGATTTTGAGTTGGTATTTGAATAGTAAAAATTTTGTATTTGAATAGTTGTATGAATTGATATAAATAGGTATTGATGTGATGTTTTAAATGTAAAATTGATTTTTAATGTAATATAAAAAATAAAAAATAGATGTTTGATTTGGTATTTTTAAGAGAAAAAATAGGATGAACAGTGTATTTAAAATCCAATCCCCGAAACAAACACACCTGATTAAATTCTTAATCAAATTTAATATTTTATAAATTAAATTTAACAAGACAAATCACAATAAACTAATGCAATAGACAAAACATAAAACAACTCACTATTATTCTTTTATTTTACTTATCGACGATATAGGAAATGATAATTATAAAAATTACTTTAATTAGGTGTGTTTACTTATGAAGTTTTGATTTTGAATAGTAAATTTTTGAATTGAAATAATTGTTTGATTTGTTATAAATATGTATTGATACGATGTTTTGAATGAAAATTTAGATTTTAGTGTAATAAAATAAATAAAAATTGGTTGTTTAATTTGATATATTTGAAAAAATAAAATAAAATGGTAAAATCAGATGTAAAAACTTACCGATACATAGAGCTTATATAGATTAAGAATAATAGAGGATTTTAATTTTTCAAAGCTTCGTATGTGCTCAAAGTTTTAGATATAAATTTTAATGTAACGGTGTATTTTGTGTATAAAAACAATCTAATATTTTATTAAAAGGTTTTAATACTTAGCTTTTTTTTTTATGATTTCAAATACAATTCTATACTATTTATTCCGTATAATTTTCAGTAAAAATATTTTTTTTTTATTTGATAAATATTTTTTTCTTCTGTTACACATAACTGTTTTTTTTTCATTCACAAAAATTGATTTCTTTATATTTTTAACAAATTTATCAATTTAAACACACTTAATAAATATAAATCAATTTAATTAAATTTATATTCTCTTACACACAAAATCTCTTTATATATATATTTTTGTTATTTACACCGGTCTACTTAACAGTGTTGGGACAAACTCGCCGCATCACGCCGCATGTTGTCCCAAATTTGTAAAATAAAAATTATATATATTTTTTTATAATAGTAATAAAATAATTGAGCAATGAAATGATGATTGCCCAATAATTAAATAACTAATTAATTAATTAATTAATTAATTAATGTAAGGTAATGCGGGAGACAGCTATTTGGTCTGATCCAAAAATACTAATCATTTTTAATTATTAATTAATTGCAAAATAATCATGGTCTCCGTATATATAGACAAACACATAACACTCAATAAATAGCTACACGTGTTGATGACGTCATTATTACGCAATTAATATACTACTCCCTCCGTCCCATTAATATGGGTGTATTACTGTACATAGGTAAAGAATAATTAGTAAGTAATTAAAAAGTGTATTACTAAAAAATAATTATAGATAAAGATTAAGATAAATAAATAGTTTAATTAAAATTAAGAAAATTATAAAATTTAAAATTTAAAATGCGATTATAAGTGCATAATTATATTTCCAAAAATAGAAAAAAAGAATTTATGTGGGATGAACGAAAATAGAAAATAGAGACAAATTATATAGCAGGGAGGGAGTAATAAATAATGGACCACCAAATCAAAGAATAAAACATGCTATTTGAAGCCCTCACCAATTTAAACAATTTTAGCAATCATCAGGTCTGTTTGGTAAAAAGATAAAAATGTCCCTATTAAATTGTGTGATATAAAAGTAAAAACACTCAGTATAATATATTAGAAGTTATAAGGATATTAATTATATTATTTATGTAGTACAATAACTAAATTAGAAAATAGTATTGGGACGGATAAAAATAGAAAATAATATCATTTCTATGAACAGAGGGAGTATGTTAATTTTAGTTTAAATAATATTTTAATACGATAGTTTGTATTAAAAAGAAAAAAAAAATTTAATAGTATCTAAATAAAATTGAATTTAAATAATTATTTAGTATGATATAAATATGTATTAATATAATATTTTGTATATAAATTTAAATTTTAATATATTATAAAAAATAATTATTTGATTTGATTTTTACAAGAAAAAGAATTACAAATAGTAAAAGAATATCCTTCTGAAGCTACCAATAAATTAAATACACTTTATATTAAATGATATAAATGACCGTCTTACTTCAAATTATACATTATTTATTTATTTATTGAAATTGATTGTCCCAACTAAATTGTATGTCGTAGAACAATTTAGTAAATACCAAATAACATAAATTATTGTAAGTTAATGTGGTGAAGTGTTAGTCTTATTTTGAGTAATTAACTAAAAAATAAAAGAGTGATCTTCTATATATAAGAAAATGTAAAATTTATTATCAAAAGATAACTAAAAAATAAAAAATAAAATCAATCACTAGAAATATATTCATCCTCCTATTTAAATACACACAAAATAAAAATAAAAATAAAAATAAAAAATCCAACAATGACTAATTTGTTCATCTTCAAAATTTTACCAAATATGAGTAAATTCTACTAAAAAAGTCATTGTACGAGTTTAAACTTCTGATGTCTCAAAATTTTATCTGTTACATATGATTTTCTTAGTGTAATTTATTTTTTCGAATTTAATTTACAAATTATTAAATTCGATCAAAATTTATTTAGAATATGCTCGAAAAATATTGACCTTATATAATAATGGTATGTATATTTATATTAGATACAAAACACATCAATCAATCAATCAAAATTGGTCTTGCAATGGGTGACGCAGCCAATCATCTTCAAAGAACATACCAGAATTGTATTTGGAGGTAGCCACGTACTCATTTCACAAAAAATGACAATTTTAACAATGATCCCTTTTAGCATACTTTTGTATTCTTTTATCATTCTTGTGCTATTTTTAATTTTTAATCATTTTTTTTTAAAAAAAAATATTGGTCTTAGTCTCGTATGCATTTCAATTCATAACATCTTCTTTGTACATTTAGGATAAGAATAATTTTAAAAAATTCACACAAAATAAATCATATTTGTCGAAGATCTGAAAGTATCGAAAATTTAAATTCATTTTATGCTATTAAATAATCCTTATTGGACCATCATGTTTAAAAATAGACCCAGTGGTCTTCTCAAGAATTGCATGAGTATGACCTAGAATAGCCATAATTTGCGTAAATTGAATAGTTATGTATTAATTATTATTATTATTATTATTATTTGAAAGTCAACTCAAATAGTATTTGAGCTTAAGTTTTTATATTTAAAATAATTTTTTTATCATTAAATTATTTGGAGAAAGAGTTCGAGAACCCTTTTTAAAAATTTTAATTTTTATAAACGTATATATTTTTTATTAAAAAAATGTACAAGTTAAATAGGAAAAAAATAAATAAATAGATTGGAGTACAAACAAAAATCCGTTGTTGAATCCAATGAATAGCAACAAAGACGACTGTGGCGTGCGAAAGAGCGACCGACAGGTAACCCTATCAACTACCGTCCCGCGGCCCGACCCGGCCCGGCCCAAAATCCACAAACGTTTCACATTCACATGTGATTCCCACCTCCTCATGAATTCTTTCCATTGATTACGGTCATCTCTGTCTTTACATTTCAAAGCTCCATGGACCTCTACTCCAGGGCAATCATAACCGTCTACTCTTCCAACAAACGGCGTAGATCTACCCGGCGTCGGAATCCCATAATCTCTACTATCCTGGCTGCTTCTTTCAGTTTCCTCGTTATTGGCCATCATTATTGGAGATAACTGTAAGTGGCCTTCTTCTAGTCAACTCCTCTCATTCATTCATCGTCCATTATTCATTAATAATAAAATTCTACACACCTTAATAATATATATATATATATATAATTCTGACCTATATATCTATCCCTTCTTCTTCCCCATCGTTCCTCATTTCAACATCTCTGCAACTCGAAAAAATCAATAAAATAAAATTAAAAAAACCCCTTCTTGTTTGTCCAAACATTATATCAATAAAAGCTTAACAAATTAAGCAATCAATTTCCTCCCAATTCGATGGGAATTGATGATCTATGCCAGACAGGATTAGGGTTAGTTCTCCAGCTGGGGATTTCCTCATCGCTTGATTTCAAATCGCCGGCCGTCGCTTCCCTGCGGGAGAAGAAATCTGAGCCGTCGCTGTCGCTCAGCCTCTCCGGCGAGCCGTCCGATCAAATTCAATTAGATAATCTATACGGTCAGGATAGCGCGGCGTCGTCGAGCGTGAAGAGAGAGAGGGAGGGGGAGGAGGCCGTGGAAACCGATAGGATTTCATCAAGGATGATCGGCGATGATGATGACGATGGATCCAACGGTCGGAAAAAGCTCAGGCTCACCAAGGCTCAGTCTGCCCTCCTCGAGGAAAGCTTCAAGCGCCGCAGCACTCTCAATCCCGTGCGTCGAATTTACATTCCTACCCCTGCCTAATCACTTATTTCCTCATTAATTATATATCTTAATAAATATTTATTTATTAGAAACTTAAGCAAGATTTGGCGAGGGACTTGAAGCTCAGGCCACGTCAGGTTGAAGTGTGGTTCCAGAATCGAAGAGCCAGGCAAGCCATCTGCAATTTTATTTTATTTTATTTATATATATATATATATGTTAAAAATTTATATTCTATATTATTATTATTATTATTATTATTATTATTATTATTATTATTAGGCTAACATACTTATAAAAAATTGAGTCAAACTTCCTTATCGTTTTATAACTTCTACGTCGAATTCCCTCGGCAATGATTCTTATTTAACGGTATTTGGCTAAATATAAGGACCATTTAAGTCAAGTATCCTTAATTAAGAACCATCGATTGAGTTTGAAGCAGTTTTAAAAATATTGAAGATTTAACTCAATTCCATTTTGATAAATTTTATGCAATTTAACTTTATTATTATTTAAAAAATGTTTATTTATGTATTTATTTTAGGACTAAGCTGAAGCAGACCGAAATAGACTGCGAGTTCCTGAGGAAATGCTGCGAGTCGTTGGCGGACGAGAACCGGCGGCTGCAGAAGGAGCTCCAGGAGCTGAAGTCCCCGAAGCCATCTGAGCCGCTGTACATGCAGCTCCCGGCGGCTACGCTCGCCGTCTGCCCTTCCTGTGAGGAAACAGCCGCGGCTAAGACCGCATTCACTATGGCTCCGAAGTTCACTTCCTTCACCAATCAATCGGCGGCTTGCTAATCTCGGCTCGGCTCCCTTAATTACAAAACACGTATACGATACATGTATTTCATATACAATACGTAGCTTTTTAGAAAATTATAGATATAGGAAAAACAGAAAAAGGATAATTGAAGATATTATATTTTAATTTGTTAATTATATAGGGACGTTGGATGTAAATAATTAGTTACATATTAATTTTATAAATATAATAGTGTGTTTCAAAATAGAATGTAAAATCATTTGTGTCCAGCATACTTTCACCTTAAAAATATAAACAAGTTCAATTTCAAATAGTGTCTCTCCTTGTAACATTTTTAATTTTTAATTTTTTTTATTACTCAATTTTTAGTTTATATATATATATATATAAGTGAATAATAAATTTAAGTAACATAAATTAGTAAGTTATTAATAATAAATTATAATATTATTTATTTTTTTTATATGAAAATATAATCTTGTTGGTATTTGAAAATTATTAATTAATATATATAATTAAAAAAATTAGAATATTTATTTAGATATTTTTAATATTATATATCAATAAAATATATAAATATTATTTTGTAAATAATATACAAAAATAAATATATTTATTTATTTATAATTAATTTAAAACTAGTTTTATAAAAATTACGAAGTTTTTAATATAGATAAAAATATTTGCAGATACACATAAAATGATTTTGAGTGATTAATTATGTTTAAAATAAATAAACTTATTAAAAAATAGTTATCTATTACAGGACGGGCAAAAAAATTGTGACATAATTGAGAAAGTATAATGCAATATCTAACAACTATTTGTATGTCGTAAAATTCAAAATACATACTTCCTCCGTCCCACATAATTGTCTCTATTTTTTATTTTCGTCCGTCCCACATAACTTGTCATTTCTATTTTTTGAAATATAATTATGTACTTTAATGGTATTTTAAATTTTAAATTTTATAATTTTCTTAATTTTAATTAAACTATTTACTCATCTTAATTTTAATTTATAATTATTTTTACTAAATAATAATTATTTTTACTAATACACTTTTTAATTACTTATTAATTATACTTTACCTAAATTCTCGTATCTACAGTAATACACTGGTATTACATGAGACGGAGGGAGTAATATTTGTCTTATAAATAAAGTACTTTGTCACTATAATTGAAAGTGTAAATATTTGAATAGCTTTTGAACAATAGCATTGGTGTACAGAAAATTAGGGTGGGGTACATATTTGCAAATAGGCAGGTATTTGATATCCGAATCGAAGCAAATAAATACCCGAAATCGTGAACTGTATTTGATAACTGAAATTTTCGGTTAACCGAAAATATTTGCAAATAATTCGAACCGAGCCGAAATTAAAAAATAATTAAAATTCTAATTAAATCAAAATATTTGCAAATATTTCAAATATTCAAACCGAAACCAAATCGAATATAATTATTAATATATAATTTAAAATATAATAACATAGTAATATAAATATATTCGGTTCGGTTAACCGAACCGGAAAAAATATCAAAAACCAAAATCGAACCAAACCAAACAAATATCAAATATGCAGTATTTGTATTCGAGCTGAATTTGCTCGATTAATCAAAAATTCGATTCGATTCAGTTCGGTTCAATTTTTTGGCCCACCCCCACAAAAAATTGAATACTTTATTTTCCAAAGTTCTACACTATAGATATAATTATTTTACATGTATTACTATGTGTTACAATATATCTATAAATTTATATTTCTTATGAAAATTTCATTACAATATTAAATTAGACTCTATTTAAATAAGAGTTTTTTTTTAAAAAAAAAATAATTAAATTAAAATAGTAAAAAAATTATATTTCCTCTGTGCCGTAAAAATTCATTTGATTTTTGCACGTAGTTTTATAATATTAATATTATATTGAGATATAATAGAAATTAAGTAGAAATGACTAAAATAATCTTACTAGTATGTGTGATATAAAGGTAATAGCATTTATGTAATATATTGTAAATTGTAAGGGTATTTGTAATGCTCGGTAGATAGTACGGTTACTAAAAAATTGAAATTGATATTTTGTTATGGGACAGACTAAAATGAAAAAATGAATATTTTGTTATGGAACGGAGAGAGTATTTAATTTGATGTAATGTAAAAACAGTAAATATTTGATATAATATTTTAAATAAATAAATATATATATATATAGTCTAAAACCACTAAATTAACATTTTTTAAATTTTTGGGTGTGTTTGTTTAGTTTTTTAATTTGATTTTTTTTTTTCATATGAAATAGGAAATAGCTTATTAAAAATATAAAAACAAATATTTTATTTTAGTATTAAATATTTACAAATATATATATATATATTGAAAATTGTATTGAATAAAAAAATTAAGTAAAACCTTTAATTAATTGTATCACTTTATGGTATCTACATAAATATGAATTAGTTAATTAATAACCATTCATTTAATTGGAATTGAATATTTCAATTGGAATATAAAATAGTTTGAAACGAAATTCCTCGTGACACGTAGACATAAATCCAATGTCCCAAATTCGTACAATTATTGAATGTATGATTGTCGTGCCACTCTTTGGCACATACAATTATACAAACATTTTATTTTAAAAAATAATAATGTGTTTGATATATATTTTATATTATTTTAAAAATAAAATATTTATTGTATGCGATATTTTATATGAAAATAAATACTACTTATTCCGTTCAACATAATTTGTTTATTATTTTTATTTGGGTACTTTTCTATATAAATTGTTTTTTTTAAAAAAAAAAAAAAATTTAATTATAGCACTTCAAATTTTAGAATTTATATATATTTTTTATTTTAATTAAATTATTTAGTTATTTTAATATTAATTTATAATTATTTTTATTATATCATAAATTGTTTTTTATAATATATTTTTTAATTATTTAATGATTATAATACCTGGAACTTCATACCTCAACTATAGTGGACATTGGACAAATTAAATATATGTTTTTTTTAGTATAAGTTAAACTTATAAAAAAGTTTATTTATGATAACATTATTTTATCTACTTATAGTTTTATTACCTATGTTTTTTTAATAATTTTTTTTCGAACTTTAATTTTATTTTTCTATTTCACTTTAATATTAGTGTTTCTTTTCTAAAAATACCACTCATTTTTTTAAAAAAATAATTAATATATTATATTTATTTATTATTTTTATATTATCCGCCTAATCTTCTATATTTTACATAAAATATATATATATATATTTTAAATCATTTAACAAAACAAACAAGGTGTTTAACCAAATTCTTATAAAATTTCTAATTGAAGAAAGTATATATTTTTTATTATTTAAAATAATTAAAATATATATTAATTTTAGTTTGAAATCACAATATATTTTAGTTTTGTTTATTTAGTTTTTTAATATTTTAAGGATAAAATATATTTTAATTATTTTTTATTGATATATTTTAGTTTTGTTTATTTAGTTTTTAAATATTTTTAGAATAAAATATATTTTAATTATTTTTTTGTTTGATAAATAATTTTTTATATCGTAAAATGAGATGGACAAAACAGTCGAATATCTATCAAATCCACCAAACAATCATTTAACTAAAAATTAATCGAATCTGTAACCGAAGAAAACAGTTGAAAGGGTGAGTCACGTGAGTTATGAGGGCACGTCACGTGCGTAAGTATCTATTAGTGTGAAACTTTATCAACACTTGTGGGATGGATATAAAGCGTTGATTTTCGGGGCCCACGTATATTAACGGTGTGGATGAAGCAGGACCTGAAGTCCTTGGACCTTTTGAACAGTACGATTAATTATTACTCCTACATTTTATTTTAGGAATATACGAGGAGAGGCGTGTGGATTAAGAAATGAGAAAATTATAGTAAGAGATAATGGTCGGGAGTAAAGGACGCGTCAGCTTGACCTGTCTTTCACGGGACCAGTAGGCCACCAGCCACGTGTTGCCCACGTGTTGCCCTGCCTTTCCTACAGCATTACAACATTAGATTCACATAGATTCGGTAGGGTGTGTTTTGTTGTAAATAATACTGTGTCAACCATTTGGCTTTTATAATAAATTAAAATATACTATTTCTCACTCCTTCAAATTTATTTTCATTTTTTTTAGTTTGTCCACTAAATTTATTTTATTATTAATTTTGGCAAAGTCAACAAATTTATTTAATTATTAGTCTTTATTCAACATTTATTTAAAACAAATATTACTAACTTTACTATATTCTCTCTTTTCATGTACTTTACTTTTTAATTAAAATTTCAAAAATACCCTCAACTGTCTATTATTTTTTCAATAAAATATTTATCTTTTTTAATTCTCGTGCCGAGCCCAAATGGACTAATTTTAATTGACAGAGGGAGTAGTATTGAAAAGTATAGTCTCGCAGCGTGTGGGAGTGAACTTGTAACAGTGAGGTCATTGGTTCAAATTCGACGTCTCCAGATTCATCTGTCATACATGAGTTCGTCTAGTGTAACATGCTTATCGGACCTACTTTGCAGGATATTAACTTCGATTGAGATTTTTACCTCATCAACAACAACAATAATAATATTTTATTTATGAGTGAAATGTGTAAGATAATTTTTTAATATTTTTATTTTTTGTATTATATATATAAATTATTGTATATGTAATATTCTTGTCGTCCCAACTAATTTGTCTACTTTAGCTTAAGCATCTAAATTTTAGATATTGTGTAATTAGTATATAATTAAAAAGTGTATTAGTAAAAATAAATATAATTTAATAAAAAAAATTATAGATTAAGATGACTAAATAGTTCAATTAAAATAAAAAAAATATATAAAATTAATAATTTTAAAATGTGACTTAAAGTGTATAATTATATTTAAAAACATGAAATGACAAATTAGGTGGGACAGACAAAAATAGAAAGAATGGAAAAATTAAGTGGGACGGAGAGAGTAGTATATTTATAAGTTTAATAAGTTAAATGATATTTTAATATTTCTATGTAATTATTTTTATTATAGTAAAAGATACTATCTTCGTCCCATAAGAAAAATATTATGGGTTTTTTGCATGTTAATTTTTAATATTAATTATTATATCAATACGTAATCTAAATTAATAAAATATATATTTATTAGTATCTTATAATACAAATACAATAATATTTGTAGAGTAAATTACACAAATAAAAATATATTTTGAATGTTAAATATAATAATATAAAAGATAAATGATATTCCTTATACAAGAGGGAGGTAGTATTATTTTTTTTAGTTGGAAACAAAAATAAAAAATAAAAAATAGTATTTTAAATTGTTATGGAAAAAGTATATCAACTTTTGATCACTTTAATTTGATAAATTTTGAATAAATTTTCCCGTGTGTTCGTTGTGGATTTGAATTTTATTTTGTTAAGATTTAAATAATAAGAATTTAATATTTAAAATAATTGTATAATACTTCCTTCGTCCCACATACCATGTCATTTTCTTTTATTGAAAAATTTATACACTTTAATCTCATTTTAAACTGTTTAATTTTATTTTTTTTTAAATTTTAATTAAACTAATTAGTTATATTAATCTTAATTTATAATTATTTATATTATAAGATAATTAATTTCACTAATACATTTTTAATTATCTACTAATTACATCCATTTTAAAATACCCGTGTCTACGGTGCAGCAGACACTGTATGTGGGACGGAGAGAGTACTATATAAATAAGTATTATTATAATATTTTTAATATAATATAAAAAATAAAAATTAGATGTTTGATTTGATGTTGTTAAAAAGAATTTTTAAATTAATAAAAATCTTTAATAAAATTAATAAATGAACATACCCGAGAAAACTAGTCTATTCGCACACTAATTCTTAAAAACACTATTATGTCAAATATTTAAAAACTTTTATATAAATGGTCCCTAATCTCACATAATATTCCTATTAATAGCAGAACCTATGAGTCTATGGTCAATGATGTCCTAACAAGTTAGGAGACTTGACCATTTTTAAAAAATAAATAGAAACCCCCAAACAGAAAACACGACACCCAAATCTATTACATAAGCAGAACAAAATTAAAGTAAATAAATAAATAAAATCTATAAGAAGACGGAAATGATCAACGGTCCAGATTTGCGGGCGAGAAAAGTAAGATGGTCTTATAATTATAAGTTAGACATAAAAAAATATATATATATATATATTTGTAATTTAAATTAATAATTTATGTTAAATTATTAATTTTTACGAGTGAAAAATATAATATTATATAAATATTTATAATATAATACTATATATATTTTTAAGTATATTAATCAAGAATCTATCACTAAAAAATATTACATAGGATGAACTAACATGTCTATGGAAGTGTAGATATTTCAATACATATGAACTAGTTGTTTGGTTGTATTTTAGGTTTTTTTAAATAGAAATGAAGTTTTGAAATTTTTTAAAAATTAGGATATTTGATATTTCTTCTTTTCTAATTCAAAATATTTTTTTTACTATTTTTATTAATTTCACTTTAAATTATAAATATAGTATTACATATACAATTACTTTATATATATTAAATCAAATGGCAAAATTGTCAAAAACATCTTACATACTTCCACTAACCACTAATTAATAAAATATAATTATTTTTTAATTTATTACAAATATCTAAATGAATACATTTGGTGTATTTGATTTGATATTTTCCAAAATTTCTATTGTCGACAAAAGGTAAAAAAAATTAAAAATACCTATGTAATTAAAATTGGTAATTTTTTTGTATATTATGATAAAAATACATTTTATCCTCACAGAATATTATTTAAATTAAAATTTAAACAAAAAAATCTAATTCCAAATCAAAACTAAAGGATGCTCTTCATTATTCATCTCCCCTTTTTTTTTTTTTTTTTTTTTTCGCAATTTAAATTTGAATCAATAAATAAAATCATCGTCCTCTGTTGTTACATGTAAAGGAGATCCATATCTAATCATCATCTTAAATTTTGAGAAAATCCAACAATCGTGATAGCCTCGACTGATCCGTTAGCATGAGCACGACTTCACGCATAGTGGGTCGCGAAATTGCTTGCTCTTCGACGCACAACATCGCCACACTAAACATATGCACAACTTCATGTAAAGCCACATTCGAAGAAAGCCTCCCATCGATGATCTTCGCCACTTCTTTTATTACCCCACCCGTCTTCATCCAAACCCATTCTACTATGTCTATGCTATCGCCCACTTCAACCACGGGCTTCTTCCCTGTGATTAGCTCTAATAGCACGATTCCAAAACTATACACATCGCTCTTTTCATCCACCTTCAACGTATACGCATATTCTATATATATAAAAAAAATAAAATATCAGATGTAACAACTATTTCATTAATATATATTGTTTTGGTATAATAGGACATATCCAACTTTACATTTTGATATAATATACAATACATATTATATAATCAAATGTCGCACAATACATTATTATTTCAACACAAACATATTATACGAATACAACATATAACTCAGACAACAAATGCTAATACACAATATATAACATAACACATTATGTCATTTCACGTAACGCAATAAACATATTATACAGCATAATACAATATATATAATTCACACAACACATGTTTTTATATAATATATTAAATGTTAATTACTTCAAATTCGTGAACTAAATTAAGTCAATACGATACTAATTTGATCAAGTGAGCACCCTAACCACCGCCTATATATATGCGGTTACAATACTTAATTTAAAAATTCAACATTGTGCTGACAGTATATTGTGTGCTAACAGAATAGCATACAACATTACTGCAGACAATACATTATTTATATTAATATAATATAAATACAACATATGAACTAACAACAGTATAGTCTCACACATCACATAAAACATTTGATTTTAGCACATGAGTTATTTCTATAAAACATACATTTAACAATGAACAAATAATACATATCTTTACTACACAGAACAGACATATATATTGTATGTAATAAAAACATGTGTTTATTTTTATATTTTATCGGTGCTTATTTAAACAGTAACAATTTACATATATATATATATATATATATATGAACATGCCGATAATACCTGGAGCGATGTAGCCATAAGATCCGGCGATAGCCGACATATACTCCGGCGCCCCCAAGCGTTGCAAGAACTTCGCAAGCCCGAAATCAGATATATATGCTCGAAACTTCGAATCCAAGAGGATATTATTCGACTTCATGTCACGGTGAATAATCGTCGGCATGCAATCGTTGTGAAGATAGCACAACCCTCTCGCCGCCTCGACGGCGATCCTATATCTCGTATCCCAATTTAGAGCGCCTCCGCTATCGCCATGAAGCATTTCGCCTAAGCTTCCGTTAGGCATGTACTCGTACAACAAAAGGTTTGTCCTATGATTCGAGCAAAATCCCAACAATTTGACAATATGTTGATGTCGAATTTGGCCCAATGTCTCGATCTCGGCCCTAAATCCATAATCATACGATGAACCGTGGCCCATCGCCGTGGCCATCTTCTTCACGGCCACTTGCTCGCCGGTAGGCGTCTCGAGCTTGTAGATAACTCCGGCGCCGCCTTTTCCGATTATGTTTTCGTCCTTAAGACATCTGACGATGTCGTCGCACGTGAAGTTCACTTGTTGGAACGCCGTTAGCCTCCACGCTTGATCCTTCCACGACTCGCCCAACGAGTAGTGTGTGTAAATGAAACCGATGGCGATGAAGATCGAGCAGACTATGAGGCCGCTGCTCATCATAAGTTGCTGTATAGTCGATATTGTTGGCTCCTGATTTTCGTCGTCTTTGTCGCAAGGCCTTACGATTGTGCCGCAGAGATTAGGATTGCCTGCGAATGATCTGTTATCGGAGAATGTAGATTGATCTGTGAAAGGAAATGAACCAGAGAAATTGTTGTATGAGAAATCGACTGTAGTTAAGCTATGCATCTCTGCCAATGGAGGGGGAATGCTGCCGCTCAAATGGTTCCTCGACAAATTCAAGTAGTTCAGCGATGTCAGGTTAGTTATCTCTGGAGGAATTTCGTTGGAGAGGTTGTTGTTGCTGAGATCGAGGTAGTAGAGTTTGTTGCAGAGGCGTATCTCGGAAGGAATTTTTCCGGTGAAGTTGTTGTTGCTGAAATCCATCTCTGTTATCTGTGTGAAATTTCCGATTTCAACTGGAATCCTGCCGGAGAACATGTTTCCGGCGAGTAAAAGCCTGTTGAGAGTGGCGAAATTCGCGAAGCTCCGCGGCAGAGGACCGGTGAAACTGTTCATGGAGAGGATGAGGCGTTCCAACAGTGGTAAGGATTTGTTGGTTTCAGGGAGAGATCCGGTGAGAGAATTGTTTTGAAGATCGAGGATGGTTAGCTTTGGTAAGGTTAGTAATCCCTGCGGAATGTCGCCGGCGAAGAAATTGTGGCTTAATCCGAGCTGATACAACGATTCGCAACGAGAAAGTGATTCTGGAATCGGACCTGAGAGGCTGTTGTAGATGACGTTGAATGATTGTAATTGTTCGCCGTCGCATAAATTTGGGGGTAAATCTCCGGCGAACCAGTTGAGGCTGAGATCTATTATTTTTAGCTTCCGATTGGTGCCTAAACTTCGAGGAATGATTCCGGCGAAGGAGTTTCGCCATAGACGTATCTGCTCCAAGTTCGGCAATTCTCCGATGCTTTCTGGTAGAGTTCCGTTGAAGTTATTCTGGTCAAGTAGCAAGGTGTGGAGATTTTTCAGACCTGCAAATGAGCTTGGTAGATCACCGTAGAAGTTGTTCGATCCTAGATCCAATTTTCTCAGGCTCTGCAACTTCCCCATCTCCGGCGGCAATTCGCCGGAGAGTTGATTTTGTGCAAGGCATAACGTTTGGAGATTCACCAGGTTTCCGATCTGCGACGGAATCTCGCCGGAGAGTTGGCAACTTGCAGCGTTTAGTGTTACCAGGTTTGTTAAATTCCCGATTTCCTCTGGTAGTCCTCCTTCGGTGAAGCTATTGAGGAATGCAATGTGAAGTTCCTTGAGTTGCTTCAATTTCCCGATCTCCGGCGGAATAGCTCCGGTGAGAACGTTGGCGGAGAGAGACAAAAACTCGAGATATGGAAGCGAGCCAATCGCCGGAGGAATTTTTCCGGCGAAGCGGTTCCCGCCGACGTGCAGATAAGTTAAATTGGCGGGAAAAAATTGAGCATCTAACATTCCGGCGAGAGCATTGTCGTGGAGGTCGAGAACTTGGAGATTCGTGAGGCCGGAGAGCTCCATGGGGATGCTGTGATTAAACTTATTTACAGAGAGATTCAGGTACTTCAGATTCTGAATATCTCCGATCGCCGGCGGAATTTGGCCGGAGAGATCGTTATTAGCTGCAGAGAGGCGGTTGAGGAACCGGAGGCGGCCGACGGCCGGCGAGAGAGTGCCTTTTAAGTAGAGATCAGAGATGTTCAGAAGCCTCACGTGCCGTTGCAACGGATCGCACGTGACTCCCCTCCATGTGCAGTGATTGGTGCTCGAATTCCACGACGACAGTGCAGAGTTAGCATCCACCGTAATGGCTGCTTTTATGGACATCAACGCCTGCTGCTCCACCCACCGTGAGCCCCTCACGGCGGCGCCGCCGCGGAGGTGGAGGAGGAGGAAGAAGAAGATGGAGAGGAATCGCATCTTTCAGGTTCGAAATTATCTTCTTCTTTTCTTTTTCATTTGAAATCAGTTAAAAACTTAAAACCAAAATTCCAGGTACATTAATGTCATTGAAAACACATATTTAGAAATCACATAAATAATTAGAAATAGAATTATTAATCACCCAATACTTAACCCCTCTTATTGTCTAGATTGGTTTCTCAAGACATAACATATTTAAAATTGTAGATAAACCCTAACCAAACAAATCCATATAAAAATAACCAAAATAATAATAATAATAATAATAATAATAATATAGTAAGTAATTTTCATTAAATACAGAGCAATAATTATATATAAATTAAATAATCATGGTAGTTACCTTAAAATAAAAGATGCTCGATATGTATGGTGATAAATTTTCTATATATATACATAAACGAGTATATATAATTAAAAAAAGAAAATAATAACAATTCTATTAATTTGGTTACCGAATTGATGGATTGAAATGCTTATTTCACTAATCAGCATATTATGTATTATATATAAATTTGACTCAATCAATATATATTTATATAAAAAAAAAAAAAAACTTATATAATTTCATTGAGCAATATACGTTGATTTAACTCAATCAATGCTCTAGCCGCCAGCGCAATTGTATAAGTAATTCTATGGCTCTATGTTTCACGAACTCATTAGTTAATGTTTATTTAGATAATTACATCTATATATGTCATATTAGTTTCTTAATTAATTTAAAACATAAATAAAACCATGTGATTGTTCTTTCAATATTATTCAATAATCTTTAATTTTTTAATGACAGAGAAATTCAAAGTCATAAAATTATCTACTATATGATTAATTATTTATGTGTAATTATTATTATTATTATTATTATTATTATTATTGTTAGCAATTAGAGCAACATAGGACATAGAGATTCGATTAAGGGCTTGAATACAAAAATATTCAAAATATAATTTTAAGCATCAGCATAATTAACTTGGCAAAATATGAAGGTAACGGTAAAATATTACTCATTTCGTCATACAAATGTGTGCTCATTTGATCGGACATGAATTTTAATAAAAGTGAGTAATAATAATTTTTTTTTAGTAAAAAAAATACAATAATATAATAATTTTTTACTTAAAAATAAAACAAGGATGATGTTATGCACCACACTGGTTACTTTGAATTACCCACATTTAAGATTTACATCAGTATCTTTCCTTTTGCAGTTAAAATATCAATTTTAAGTGTACTCTTTTTATTTTTTATTTTTTTTATGATTTACAAAATAATGTCGAAAAAAAAAAAAAACTTTTACTGATTATAAGATAACATATAAGTTCATATGATCTGAGGCACTATAAGATGATTGAGGGATTAAATGAAATATCAGTAAAGGAAATACCATAAATTCTATAGTTTTTCGTTTGAATTTTTGGGGGAAGGATTTGTTGAAAAATAAAAAATAAATTAAGTAAATTTAAATTGCCAATGGGTTTCGGCCTTAATTGTAATTTTTATTTATTTTTTTTAAAAATATCAAATCAATTGTTTTTTTTATTATGATCAAATTCATTATATACTAAAAACATCACAAAATATTTATTTATATAATATTATATAATTATTCAAATTTAAAATATTACTATTCAAAACTTCAAATTCAACTTTAAAATCGACAAACTCATCCCAACTCCAAATGTGTTTTTTTTTTTATGAGTTTGAAAACAAAAATAGTTTGAATTTGATATAAAAATAATGTTTGATGTGATGTTTTATGAAAAAAAAAAAAAAAGTAATTTTTTTTAGAAACATAAAATCCAAATAGTAAAATTTTGAAAAATTTGACTAGAGAAGCATACGCTTGATTATAAAGAGGTCAATTATATTTTTTGAATTTATTGAATAACACTTCATATACAAAATACAAATATTATTTTAATGTTATAATTATTTATTTTTTTATTTTTTTATGTTACAACATAAATATTTTAATTTAAAAAAAAAAAATTGTAAAAAGCTGCAAGCGTTGCAGCAATGCCATTAAGAGGAGACAAAAGGTGGTTTGAGGGATTTTTATTGTACACAGTACTTGCGTGAAAATCCCCCAAACCTGCTTGGAAAACATATCTATAATATTTAAATAAAAATTTATTTTTCTAATCATATTTTTTATTGTCATATGTCAAAAATATAAAAATTAAATTTTTTACTTTTTAATAATTTTTTTACTTTTAATTTTTTTCATTTTTATAACACAATATTGTCACTCAAATTCTGCGCTACTCAGTTGCAGGAGATAAGGTATTCGAGATTTGATCACGCAATGGGGAAGCATCGCATCAATGGCGTCCGCCGATACTCGATTTATGTCCTCCGTCGCGCTCAGCCTAGGAATACGACCAACGACGCGGGAACCAGCAGTGGGTTAGTAAATAGAGGCCTGATTCTAGAAGCTTCGACGCCTCCATCGCTGTCGCCGTTGCCGCGGCGGCGGCGGCCGAGGCGGAGGCGGCGGAATTTTTTACTGAAATTTTTCCTGATGTGATTCAGCTTACAAACGATTTGAATCCTATCCCAAATATTTGCAGCCATCGATATTTGTAAATTTTGTTGTGCAGAAAATAGCGCAAGCCGCGACGTGTCGGTTCATACGTGCTCACGTATCCATAGTGCGTGGAGATAAACTCATGTAACTTCCCTTTCCTCCACACATATCTCTACCTATATTTACACATGTACGTATCGTTAATGTCCACGCGCGGACATACATACAGAAAATGCATATTTCAGATCCGTTTGCGGGGATTCCAGTTAAAGCATTTGTGAAATTGTTCGCATCAGTGTATTTGAGAGAAGCATATTCGCAATTCACTGGTAGACTGAAGGGGATAATTCTGCACAATTACATTAGGGATTTGACTTTGATCATATTGTGGTAATATTTCCCAATCTCTGTTTATATTTCCTTGGTTTTCAATTGGAGCATTTCGATTTGCAATTTCGTATGAATGAAATGTGGATCTATGTTTATCAATGTTTGGATGTAGGCCTTCTTGATGTAACAAGGCCAGTGTTTGTATTACATTATGTTATCTTTGATCTCTTGCGGTAAACGAGGCTTTCTTCAATTATCTTTAGAACATCAAAATATGATGAAATGGATTGGACCTGTTTTGCTCAATGGGTGTAGATGATGGTTGATCCTATGTTTGAGCCTTGCATAAATAGAAAATTGTTGCCATTAGAAACTTAGATCTTAAAAAATGCACATTATGTGCTCTCTACACATTATGATTATGGAGTGGAAGACAATCACTTGTCTTTAAATTCAAATTTAAGATTATGGGGTTGAGAACATCACTTGTCCTTGTGTTCTTCCTTATCAACTTTATTGAATTCTTGAATATTTGGATCTTAGTAATGGATTGGAGGCAGCCATCTCCGCTGTTTTTCTTGCCTCGTTATTCTGAATTGTTCTTTTTTTCTCTCTTTGCATATCGAACTCATTTTGATTCTCCTTTACAGGACTTGTATAAGTTGAAGTTTTTATAGCCTTGGTTTCAAAGGTAGCCATCATCATGTTCAGGCAATCACCTCGGCGACACCAGAGGAGCACCGGGATGAAAATGAAGCACGTGCTGCAGGTAAGTTTGCTGCTCGGAGTGTCCATCTGGCTGTTTGTTCAGATGCAGCGCTCGGGCAACAAGAAGGCACCGTCTCAAGAGAGCCTCAAACTCTCAGAAAAGATGCAACAGCACGACAACGACAGCGTCAAGTTTGGGAGAAAGGATCTCAAACCAAAAGTAGAAGTGTACAGCGAAGATGAGAAGCCATTGGAAACACCTCATTTCGAAGACGAAACCAAGCCTCAGGACAGGGAACAAGAACAAAACATGGAAGCAGTCCAGCATACACAAAACTTTGTGAATAGCATAAAGGAAGACTCTACGGAAAATTATGCGAGTACTATAAAGGAAGCTGAGACAGAAGAGGGTGGCGTGGCGAAAGAAACCCACACCGAAGAACATGAGATTAGAGAAACCAACAGTGAGGATCAAATGGAGGACAACAATCTTAAGATGGATGGAGGGGCTACGGAATTTAACGCAGAGGAAGGGGAGAATAGCGAACACGAGACTAAAATAGACGAGGGAGACAATATTGAAGATGAAGGTGTGAGTGTTAAAGTGAAGAAGAATATGGAGAAGTTGCTCGAAAAGGGCGTCGAAGTGAAGAAGAACATTGAGAAATACCTCGAAGATAAGGCTGGCATCGTCGGGAAAGGCGAAGATGCTGCGATGGGGAATGAAAGCAATGAGAATGAAAATGGAAGAACAATGGAAGTGAACCTCGCCGGAGAAGAAAAGGTAAGTGAAGATTTACAGAAGAAAGAAAAGAGGAAGGAAAAGGGAAAAGGAAAGGGAAAATCAGGCCATGATACGCAACAGAACGAGGAAATTGTCGAAAGCAAGATTGGACAAAACAAGAACAATGTCGACAATGAGAGTAAGGTTAAGGATAAGGGAATTGTAAGCGAATATTCGACGCATAAAACAACAGAAGATGATGCCAATGGAAAAGGTAGCGGAAAGAGCAATGCTGAAAACGACAAACTGGAGAAGCAGGAAGATCATCCAGTCGAAAAGAACGGGATCAAAGAAAAGAGTCTCGACGGAGGAGTTGTTTCAGATGGCACGAATCGTAAGTCTCAGAACAAGAAACGGGAGAAGATAGCTGGAAAGATTAAGAATGCAATCGAGAAGACAAAAAACACAGCCAAAATGATTCAGGATGCAGTTCTTCCGAGCAGCGAAGCTAACTCGTCGACTCACGGTGATGAACTTCATTCATCTGCAAAAATGGATACTAATTCTGGCGAATCGAATTCAAGTGTAGCTCATCTTTTGACAAAAGCAGAGCTCGATATGTCGAACGGGAATTCAAACAGCTCCTACGATGGAAATTCAGACAGCGACGAATCCAAGGCATCCCGGGACGATATGGAGAACCATTTGTCCGTAAGCGAGACCAATACCTCAGTCGAGCCCAACAATCCCGGCAACAACACAGTTCTTGATGAGAAGTCGAATTCCTACAACGACAGCAACGGCAGGGATGATGGCAATAGCAGTATGGACAATTTTTCTCAGGTTTCGACAACTTCATCGAAGGAGGACAATCCGAGCATAAATGAAACGGTACATAGAATGACGGATAATGAATCCGATTCATCGCTCCCCCAAGAAGTGAAAGATGCTCGAACCGACCTCGATACCCTCCCGGAATCAGGTACGGATTCTAACACCCTTGATGCAAGTGAGTAGCGATTCTTCCTGTTGCCCGGCCGATGTTTTTTTACTCGGCGCGAGCAATCGGTATCGAGTTTATTTGCATTATAGACCAACGTGGTATGGAGATTAAGGTTGGTTAGCTCGAAATAAATTGTTGGCAAATCAGAAAATGAGAACCATTATTTTTGTAAAAAAAAAATTCGTCGACAGAATCAGAAATGGAATGTGTTAGCTATGTGAACTATAAACCAGATTCTCTTATTTTATTAATTTATTTAAATACTTTTCGAAATATTTATTTTATGCAACAATTAATCAATATAATATAAATATTTATTAATACATGTATGTTCGTTTTTAAAGATTTACCGTATATTGGTAGCTGCCAATATCCCTATTATTTATTTTCAAATTAATAAAAAAATAATATTAATATTAATATTAATTCCGGTATGAATTATTTTAATTAATAGTCTCCATCCAAATTGGTAGTTAAAGCAATAAAGAAACTATCTAATACTAACCTGTAGACAAGTCGAAAAAATGTCGTAAGGCCTTGTAATGCTAGCATAAAGGTTCGATACAACAATAGAAGAAACCGATGAAGGGCTTTAGGAAGAACTTGTTTTAGAGATCCGGCATTCCAATCCCGGTTTTAGCGTCGTAAGTCTTCTCCAGAACCACATCCATTGGAGTGTCCTTAGGACCAACTGCATTAACGACGGCAAAAAAAAAAAAAAAAAAAACAATAACCAATCATTCGTAGCTAGGCTTGCTAAATACGATTATAAACCAACAAAAGAATTGCAGAAATGTTCAAAAGCAATCAATCATACGATGATTATTACCATAGTTAGGCCTAGGATGTCTCCTCAGCTTCAATATCTCCGGGCGAGGTATGATCGACCCTGATGCTCCAATTCCTCTAGATACGCGCACCTTTGTGCCATCTTCCAAGTATTTAGTTCCAACCTTACAGGGATTCCTAAACAGGAAAAAGTTAGGCGCCATGCGCAGCCCGGCTAGGATAAAAATAATATAAACCTCTCACCCTGTGACCGGATCTACAATTTGAACATTCGAGACGTGGAGTGGGGCTTCCATTGTGAAAATCCCACCGGCATTGCCCTGGGTCTGCTTCACGTGCTTTTTCACCTGCACAAAAATTCTTAACTATGAATTTCACCTTGCAGAGACAACCATATAGCTCCTGCATAATGCTGTCTCTGTGAAATGATTCTATTCCTAAACTCTCAACCATAGTAAAAAATGATTTCCTATGGAATCCACAATGAAATCTGTTTTTACCAAAAAATGGGAAACAATCACAGAAAATCAATAGGGATCGAGGATCTTTTGGCAAACTCGCAATTATCAGACCAAAAATGGACATCAGCAGAACACCATTAAAGAGCATATAAAGAGCTCTCATTCAAAATGATCATGGTTTGGTTGCAATGAATTTCCCGTGAACTGTTTTAACTGTACAATCTTAACGATCCCTTACAAACAACGAGTAACATCCAAAATCAATTTCATGTATGTTTATAATACACATTTAGAACTTCTAACCGTATTTATCAACAATAAGTTTTTCAAGAAGATATTAGCATAACATGCCATTTTCTTCCTACAAAATATCGTATCAAATAACCAACTTTTTTACCATAATTTAAACGGATCATTATTAGTATCAAATTCATATTTTCTTATAAAATGTCACTTTCCAGACTCATTTTACATTAGCAAAAGTTTGAAAATTGAAACAGCAGAAAAGCAACTCAAAGCTCCAAATCACAAACAAACAAACTTAGAATAGCTCACCAAATTCTTCCCCCCAACAATGACTCGATTTTGGGAGCGGAATACACGTTTGATAATTCCAGTTTCGCCTTTATCCTTTCCCCGAATTATCATTACCTGCATAGATGATCAACCAATAAACTCTAAATGTTACTGGAAAATGATCTGGAACAAACTTTGATTTTCCTTCTTCAACGAAATGAAGCAGATTGCTTTATTCTTCTTACATTATCACCTCTGAGGATTTTCCAAGTCTGAATTATTTTTTGTGCTGCCTTCCAACCCATCTCGTTCTCTCTTGCTGAAATTTCCTATAGGAAAACCTTCACACAGTCAGAAGAGCTCGAAACGGATCCAACATTTACTGCAGCTGAACATAGCCGACAGAATCAAATCTCATCCGCCTGGTTCTAGATGAAGAATACAAACCTCAAGACAAGATCGAGAGCACACTAAACAAACGAGAAAGCTAAATTGGAACGTTAATAAGAAAATAATTCACTGCAAAGCTAAATCCTTAGCCTGAAAATTTCAGATTAGCCAACGACCGAGATAAGGGTTTACGGCAGGGATGGTTCTGTACCTTATACCGAAAATTGACACATACAGTATACCCAACAGAATTTTTCTACAGAAGTTTAACTATTGTACTGTTTATACGGTACTTTCGGTATATAGATTTTTTCAGTTTTCGAAGCTGAATTTTTATGCACAGCAGTAGAATTACTCAAAACGCAATCAGTCACCACACTCTCATTCTATATCAAATACAAAAAAATTAATCAAAGAACTGAAGAGAGAAAAATATTTCCAAAACTTTGGAAGTCACAAAGCAAAAACATACAGAAAACAAACAAAAATGACAGGGACAAAAAGTCGATACCCAAATCGACAGCAGCGGTAAACAAAAATTGAGAGAAAGAGAGAAAGAAATGCACACACAAAACACGGATAGTACTGTGCGCGCGCGACTGCGAGGTGGGGAAGGCGGCCGGCGGCTAGCTGCTAGCGGCGATTTGTGAGGTCGAGATGCAGGTGGGGGAGGACGGCCGACGGCGATTTGCGACGTCGAGAGAGAGGCGGGGGAGCGTGTCTGGCAATTTGGAATTGGGAGGATTTGCTATTGAGATTTGAGAATCGACTTCTTTTTAATAATGAATTTGTTCATTAAAACTATATTTAAGTGGCATTATTTTTATACTTTCATACCTAAGTTTTTTATTTATTTTTTGCAGTCATTCTATAAAAACATTTATAAACATAATATGATAAAATAATATAATATCTATTTTATTCTTAATATTAAAATATAAATAATATAAAAAAGTAAGGACGATAAATATTTTGATATTTAGTTAAAAATTAAAAAAAAAAAAATTTAACAAAATTAAAATGGTAAAATATAAAATTTACTGATGAACTGAGAAAGTATAAAAATACAATATATACATATTAAAGTAATATATATAATATCCCTTAGTCTACTTCTAAGTTTACGTATCTTTATTTTTGTCTATCCAATTTAAAAATTTACATTTCTTTTAATAACTGTGGACTTTACCACTAACTATTATATTTAGTATTATTTTTTTTCTACACTTATATTTAGTATTATTTTTTTTCTAAATATAAATAATAGAGTTGGATACGTATATTATTATATTCACATACAAAACGTCAATAATTCAACATATTTTTTATTTTTCATATCAAAAATAATTATAAAAAAAAATATTCTTTCTAAAGAATACAAAGTGAACATACTCAAACTAAAATATATTTTCCTCTAAAATAATACTCTCTTCATTTAAAATATGATGCAAACACACAATGAGATGTAATATGACAAAGTGTGATATATAGATTAATTATAGTTAATTATTTTTATTTTATAAATATTACAATATATTTAGGACATACCACAAACGAAAATATGACAGATGTTTGGAATTGAGGGAGTAATATTTTACTAATTGGTGAAAATATATAAGATGTTTTGACATTTTTTATTATTTATGCTTTACTTCTTCCGTCTCGTAACAAAATATTCATTTTTCCATTTTAGTCCGTCTCATAACAAAGTATCAATTTCTTTCTTACTAATTGTAATCTCTACCTAACATTACAAATATTCTTACAACTTACAATATATTACACAAATATCATTACTTTTATATCACACAATATTAATAAGATTACTTTAATCATTTCTACTTTATTTCTACTACATCTCAATATAATATTAATATTTCTAAAACCTCGTATAAAAAGTAAATAGATACATAGTTATTGAGCGGAGGCAGTATATAAATTAATTGTAATATATTTTAATATGGATGTGTAATTACTGTTACCACAATTAAAAAAATATTTTAATAAAACAAATAAAATTAGTAAAAAATTACATTCATTGAGATAGAGAAAATATATATATTTTTTTATACAACGAATTCATATTAAAATTTTTCGGGTAAACTGTTTTTTTAGGTCTGTAACTGAACTCCTTTATCATTTTAGTCCCGTAAAGCGTGTCGCAAACTAGTCTCATAAGTGAAGAATTTTCGTTGTTTTAGTCCTCCGGCGCCGGAAACGCCCGCGTGGCTCGCCGGAGGTGACATGTCCGTCTCCACCAGGTCAGCGACACCTGACAGACACGTAGATTTTTAATTTTTTTTTTCATTTTTCTAATTTTTTTAAAATTTATTTGTATTTTTTTATTTTTTTATTTGGTCCAATTAAAAAAATGAAAAAAATTAAAATAAATAAAAATAAATAAATAAATCCACGTGTCCGCCAGGTGTCGCTGACCTGGCGGATACGTCACCTCCGGTGAGCTACGCGGGCGTCTCCGGGTCCGAAGGACTAAAACAGCGAAAAATTTTCACTTGTGAAACTAGTTTGCGGAAAAAAAAAAAAAAAAAAAAAAAAGTTTACCCAAATTGTCCTTCTTAATTAGGATTTTGTCTCCATTTCCAAACTCAGAATATGAAGTGAATTGTAAGCTTTTAGGCCCAGATTTTCATTGAGGCTTTATTTAATATGGCCCATTATTATACTAGTGGGCTTTATTAGATATACATATATATCCATTATATACTATACATATTATATTAATACTCTTTGTCTCAGTAAGACACCCATTTGATTAGGAATAAGTATTTTAGATGATTTAATGTAATAGATTAATCATAATAGTTATTTTCTATATAAGTGGTATTTGTTACTAACTCTGTAAGTAAAGATATTATTTTGCGTCATTGTATTTAATATTAAAAATATTTTTATATTTATATAATTTACTCTAAAAATATAAGAGACTAATAGATGTATTTTTGTCTTTATATTTTTTTTGTATTATATTTTGATATAATAATTAATATTAAAGATTAACACAATAAAATCATTGTACACTTTGTGGCTGAACGGAAGTAGTATTATTTTAAAAATAAAAATTAATATATATATAATTAAAAATAAATAAAAAGTTACTTAAATATTTCAAATACTATATATAATAGAATATAGTAGTATATAATATAGATATTATTTTATAAAGAATAAAATTTTATATAATATAAATAAATAAAAATATATATAATTAATATAAACTAATTACTTTTAAAAATTGAGAAATTTTAAATTTAGATAAAATATTCTATTTATTAAAATTTAAAATTTAATTAAATTAATTTATATTTATTAAATATATTTAAAATTATTAAATTTACCGGAATGAAAAGAATCATCTTACTTGGGACAAACTTAAAAAAAAAAAAAAAAAAAGAAAGAAAGAAAGTGATATGTGTCGGGTCAAAGAGATGACTAATTTTGTATTGATTAATTTCTATTTAGTTACTGTAGTAACAATCTGTATATCGGAGCTGTACTTCCCACTTCCTGGTAGATTCTAAATTCACCCATCGGGTGTTGAGCTCCCGGGAGCGTGCAATCAATACCTCAAGGCGTCCTGGATTCTCTTCACCACCTCCTGTACTGTTAGTTTGAACTCTTTATCCATCTGAAACCCCAATTATTGGAATTAAATTAATTAATCATTAACCAATATTCTAAATTATGTGTATAATTAGTAAATAATTAAAAATTATACTCCATCTGTCTCATATTTATATATTTCATTACTTTTTGTACGAAATTTAAAAAATATTAATATTATATTGGAATATAGCAAAAATAAAATAGAAATGACTAAAATAACTTTATAAGTATTGTGTGATATAAACGTAATGATATTTGTGTAATATATTGTAAGTTGTAAGAGTATTTGTAACGTTAGTTAGATAGTACAGTTACAAAAAAAAATGAATATTTTGTTACGAGACGGACCAAAATAAACAAAAAAATGGATAGTTTGTTAGCGATGGAGGAAGTATTAGGGTTTGTTCGTTTGAAGAATTTTACCAAAATTCTACTATTCATCCAAAATTTTTCCCCAAAAACATCAAATCAAACACCTATTTTTTATTTTTTATATTATACTAAAAATTAATTTTATATTCAAAACATCACATCAACATCTATTTATATCACATCATACAACTATTCAAATTCAAAATTTTTACTATTCAAATCTCAACTCAAAATCAAAACCCCCAAACAAACACACTCTTAGTAAACTTTATTAGTGTATAGTAAAATAATTGTAAATTAATATTAAAATAACTAGATAGTTTAATTAATATTTTAAAATTATAAAATTTAAAATAAGATTAAAATTTATAATTATATTTTTAAAAAAATAAAATAAAATATATGAAATTAACAAAAATGAAAAATAGTAACAAATCGTGGAATGAAAGGTAATACTATTTATTTACTGAGAATTTCTAGGAATATTAATTACCTGAGCCACAATAGTAACATCAAGAGCTAAATTTCCAAACGGAACGGCGTTTTTGCAGACAACCGTCAGGCTTAGGGCATCCACGGCGCTGAGTAATTTTACCAAAATACCCATCCGTCTCCTGCAGTGAACTCTTATAAGGAGTTGGTTACTGGACGCTCTCGCTTCGATTTCCGGCAGCGGTTGCTCGTCAAACCACCATTCGTCCTCCGCCGTCATCAGAGATTTTCTTATGAGGACGGCTGACTCCTCCGTCTGAGTCGTCGCTTGTTCTTCGAGAGTCTTCACTCGCTCCTGGAGGTGCTTCAGGTATTTGATTCCGTCCTCCAATACTGAAGTTTTATCCATCTGGAAATTGATTGTGAGTTTATTGTTTTACAATAGAATGAACAATTCGTTGAGGTTATTAATGGAATCGATGCAAGTAACTGACCTTCTTCAGGCCTGGAATCAATGTTGAAAGAGTAAAGAAGTGCTGACTGAGTTGCTGCCGTCGCTTTCTCTCCGCTACGATGTGATCATAGATCTGCGACGCCGGTCTCACACGGCTAGGCTTCTTCACTGTCTGCGCACGCGTTACCAGTAATTGCTCGTCTGAATCCAAAAACTCACCGTGAGATCTCAAAGCTTCGGATACAGCGGCTTCTTCGTCGGAGTTCAAAGGCCTGACGCCAGAGTTCAATTGCGACGGTTTCTCGGTCGATTTTGAGAAATTGAGAATCATAGGAGCTGAAGAGTTATTAGGTTGAATGGTTGAAAAATTGGGGGAATCGTTTGTCTTCTGCAATTTGTGCGATGGTGATTTATGGAGTGAATTGCAGGTCTCCAAAACGTTGATCGGAGTGTCGTACGACGGCGATCCGCCGCCGGCGGAGAGAGCGTTGCTGTCGTATAATTCCTGTTGAAGAATTGCCGCCATTGGATCTTCGTTGAAGGAATCCATGAACTCGCACTGATCCGTGAAGATTGAATCGTCCATCCCCTGCAGGTAACCTCTCCCATAGTTTAATCTTAATTAATTCCTTTTTAAGCTAGAATCGAATAACTAAATTAAAGTAATTCTAGCCTATCCTCTAGTCGAAGTTTTACATGCATGCACAGCATCATTCATTAAGTGGTCAATTATTATTTAAACAAAAATTAAAATTAAAATTCTCATAAAAACATTGGAAATGAATATATATATATACTTATTATTTTTTAAAAACATCATCTCCAGCTAATATACTTATATTTTATTTTATAAAATATCATTTTTCAACAATTATTATCACATATATAAATCAACAATTTAAATTATATATATATATATATTCATACATACACATACGTTAGAGAGAAATAAGAGTTTAATTACCATCTCAACAAGCCAAGAAATCTTTGAGCAATAATCCATGGTAGCAATAATCAGAGAGTTAGGGATGTATCTGTGGACGCTACGGCTAAATTTATAGGCATTCTGGTGTGGGTGGGGGTGGGGTGGGGTGGGGTGGGGGGAGTTAATGTTAATAGTAGAGAGGTTGGTGTGGGTTGGACCATATAGAATTTTGTTCATACCTATCTATTATTTTCAAGATAAAATAACATTCCTATTAATTTTCAAAAGTTATATATTTTTTCATTATTTAGAATTTGGTTTTGATTTTTTGCTTTAACAATAGTTTATATACATATTTATAGTATATGGTATTTTGTAAAATAAGATAGTTTATTTTAAAAGATAATCACATTATAACTCAAATTCCAAGAGAATATGATGGTCTTTGTTTACTTGAGGTTTAATTTTGTATTTTTATTTAAAATTGTGATTTGAATGTGATGTTAGGAGTAAATTAAATTGCCTGTTGTCTTTGATATTTTGTTTGAAATTTTGATATTAGTCTTGATAAACTTTTATTAGAATTTTGTTTAATAGTACTTTTTTTTTTGTCCGACTTTAAAGATCATATTTATTTTGTTGTGTGTTGATCTTTAAATATTATTTATTATATAAAAAGATAGTACTTTCTCCGTCATCCAATTGTGTGCTCATTTGAACGGACACGGGTTTTAAGAAAAATATATAAAAATATAAATTTTTACTTTTTTTGATAAAGAAAAGTGGTATTTTTTTACTAAAAAAGAAAACGAGAATAAATTTGGATGACAATTAAAAAATGAAGTGAGAATAGATTTGAATGACAGAGGGAGTACAAATTAAGGGAAGCATACAAAAATATTTCTATTAGTGTCTTATAGTAGTAATATAATGGTATTTATATAAAAAATTATACAAATATAAAAATATTTTTAATGTTAAATATAATAACACAAAAAGTAAAAGTAATCATTAGAGGCGAACGTAATATGTATATTTTTAGATATTAATTATAAGTGCTTGCAGTTCCCACTGTTAGCACATGTTGAATTAGTACTTTAGTAATATTACATGTATTTGCTGCTATGTAATGTCAAATGAATGTTAGCTATGTGATATTTGTATTATATGTCTTGTTAATTGAATTTATCTGTGAGTAAATGGTTTTTATGACACAATTAGTGAAAAGACAATTATTACAATTAAGTTTGGAGGATTTTTGGAGAAAATATACATTAGAGAGAGCAGGATGGTTGTAGTATTAGGCAAGGTGGGTCAATTGACCCATCAACAAAAATTAAAAATAATACTACTAATTATCACTAAATTATAAACATTATCAACAAAAATTAAAAATAATATTACTAATTATCACTAAATTATAAATATTTCCTTAAATATTATTCTATTTTTATTTTATGAATCAGTTTCGGTATTCGACAAGATCCACCAAAAGAATTATTAATGTCTTGTTTTTTTCTCTCAAATTGACTTTCCTTTTTTAATAAAAATATATTGCAACTACTTGCATAATTATATTCTACAGAATTTTCAAAAACAAAATTAATGATTTTCGAATTATTATTAGGTAATTTCATTATTGATGTTTAATATGATGAAATATTTTGGGATTTGAAGAATTTAAATGAACTTGTTGAGACAAAGAAAAATAGTAATTGCAAATGTGAAAAGATTATTTTTCAACTATAACTATCATCAATAAAAAATTACGAAATAATATGGAAGAATAATTATTAAATGATTATTTCGTTACTTTTCAAAATCTTCAACATGCACAAATTCTTATGTCTTAACGAAGTTTGTTCAACAAAAACCATCACTGCCCTTGCCATCATCGCTTCGCTATTGTCGCTATTTGCCCACCCGCCGTCCGTCCGCCCATCCCTTGCTAACAATAATTCCCGGTCACAAGTGTGTGTTTTAGCTAGGTTAATGTTATTTTAAAATTTTAATTTTATTTTGTAGTATTATTATTATTTTTTTAATGTGTTCTATATGTTTTTATTTATTTATGTAGTTATTTGGTTTGGTTATTTATGTTGAAGATATTCAAAATGTGTTTGTTTGTTTGTTTTTTTATTTTTTTATCTCGATTGTAAACCCTATTTTCTTGGATTGATAATAATTTTTTATAATTGTTAAATAGAATAGATTGAATTTTTTATGTTAAAAATTTTCAATTTGTTAAATATATATTGTCTTGTGTTTGTTTAAGTATTTTCGTAATTTTTTTTTAATTTGTACTACGATATAATAATTAATAATCAAATATGAACACACAAAAAGTAAATAAAACTCTATGAGGCGTTTGGTACGAAGAATAAAATTGTAGAAAAATGAGAGTAAAGAATGAAATTTGAGACAAAGAGAATTGGGTAGAGAATGAGAATTAATTCTCTTGTTTGGTCAGTTTAAAAATGTAAAAAAATGAATGGATCGGACAAAAATAAATAATTAATCTAACAAAAAAGAGTTTTAGCGAGTGAGCATTCATAAATAAATATTTATGGTGACTTTTTTTTAAAACAAAAAATTATAAATTATATACGAAGATTTGTAAAATCATATTTTAGTATATTTTTTTAAAAAAAAATTAAAAAATTAAATACTTGAATGATAAATTAAATATAATTTTTGTAAAAATAAAAATAATATAATATAAATAATTATATAAATTTAAATAGTAAAAAAATAACAAAAATAAAAATATATATATACTGCAACATCATTTTTCTTCATTTTTAATATATAAAAAAAAATGAAAACAAACAAATAAAAATAAAAATATTTTATTTCTCTATTGCAAATTTCTTGTACCAAACACACCCTAGATGAAGAAAGAAGATAGTATTCTAAGAAAAATAGAAGAAATAATTGATAATTATTAAACAATCATTGCAAAATCTCTTGTTAGTAAGGCCAAGTTTATGTACTGCTCATGATTGATGTTATTGAATTTACAACATTATCAATAAATATATTCTTTCATCTTACAATATATTTATTTAAATTAAAACTAAGTAAAAGAAATGAAGATTTGTTTGTGCTGTTAAATAGTTTGAAAAGATATTTTTTATATATAAAATATAGAAAAAATGTATAGATAATATAAAATTAATGAACATTTATAATTTATTATTTTTCTTGTAAAAATATGTTGATTTGTTAAAAAAAAATACAAATTTTAACAAAAAATACTTCAATATCTTTTTTTATTATTATTTTAGTCTGTTTATTTAAATCTTCTCATTTCTTTCTTTTCAGTAACGTTACATTCAATATAAATGCGAAAATATTCGTACCTTTATCATTATATTATTATTTTTATATAAAATAATAATAATTAAAAAAAAAAAGACAAAAACATTTTTTTTATATATATATATATTATTTGTACTTATATTTTGATAAAAATAGTAATATACCTTTAGGTGCCAATAGTAAACGAAAAAATTACTAGTAATATACACAAAAATAAGATCCAATAGACAAAAACACAGATCGTTATATGAAACGTGGCCTGTGGCTTATCCAGCCAATCCCTACGTTCTCATCTGTCTCCTTTAGCCAATCACTGCTTGCCACCTCAGCACATCAATTATTGGCTTCGCCATCTTGGTCCACGTCTCTTCCAAATATTTTTTTAATACATAATAGTCCCTCCGTCACATTGTCATTTCTATCCGTCCCATATATCATATCACTTAGGGGTGGACACGGTTCGGATATTTGCAAATATACAGGTATTTGATATCCGAACCGAACCGAACAAATATTCGAAACCGCGAACCGAAACTGAACCGAAAATTTCGGTTAACCGAATCTTCGGTTAACCGAAAATATTTGTACTATTTGCAAATATCCAAATCGAACCGAATTCAAACAAATATTGACAAATAAATCTACTTTTGGAATTGAAACACTCATAAACAACAACACAATATCAGTTCAATTAAAAACAAATTAACATGAAACATAAAGTATATTTAAAAGTCAAATTACAATATCCACAAAAATAAATCTGCGTGTGCATCTTTTCACCGTCGAATTCCTGAAAAATAAGATAATAAAATAATTCTTTTTAGAAAAAATCAATAATAATGCACTGCAATTATAGTATAATAAAATTTATTTACTAAAAAAAACTGCACACTAAATTGAGTAGAGATTCAAGTTTTCTTCAAACACATGAATTCCTGGAAAAAAAAAATAATAATATAATATTTTTTAAAAAAAAATCAATAAAACTAAGAAATAAGCTATAAGTATAAATAATATATTTATTTATCACAAAATGTTGAAAGCTCAATAATCTAAATTTTCTGGAATTAGCAACAAAAGTAATTTGTAATTGAAGCAACCTGTAAATTAAAATTAAAAGTGAATTTTCAAGAGTAATAATATTTAATTTTTTTTTACTGTACAGAAAATTTTTTTAAAAAAAAAAGACAAAAGAAATAATTTATAATAAAAAAAATACTGATACTACAAAGAAAGTATACCTCATTCTATTCATCTAAATCCAGAAGATGTGCTTCCCATGCTGTAAACAAAAAATTAAGAAACAATAAAAAAACATATATTTTACATTTAAATTTAAATTTTTACTAAGTATTTAAAATTAAATAAAATACCTGCTTCGATATTTTCAAAATCTTCACGCTTATTTTCATCAACAATGTTTGGATTACCTCTTCGAATCCAATCTTGTGTACATATTAATGCTTCAACCAACTTTGGGGTAAGAGAATTCCGAAAATGATCAATAACACGACCTCCCGTGCTGAAAGCTGATTCTGAAGCAACCGTAGATACTGGAATGGCCAATACATCTCTTGCCATACGAGAAAGGATCGGATATTTTGATCCCGTTGTTTTCCACCAATATAAGATATCAAAATTCGATTGGGTCATCTTTTCACATTCGTCATCCAAGTATTTATCCAACTCAGATTTTAACACACCATGCACTTCAATTGCTTCAAATTCCTCCAACTCTTTCTGCAATCT